AAATAATTTGAATAGAGTAAATTGACATGCAGTACCTGTACCTACCAACGAGATTGCAGCGTTGCGATCTCCCATCCACCCTCTATCTAAAGTAAGGCTTCTCAATATTCTAAACGAGGTCTGATAGTGATTATGTAATTGCTATAAAAATACGCTATCTATGCTTATGCGATAGCTATGTACCTAGCTTCCTCCATCAACTAAATTCCAACATCAAATTGAACAGCACGCCATCTTTGATTTGAATCCTGTAGTTGATTATTTATACACATTTTTCTTACATTATGGTCTCCATTGTCTCCACTATTACAGAAGTGCAAAAATAAACGAAATATGTGAAAACGTAGTCCTTCTATTGTGTAAACGAAAAGATGTTTTGCCTGAAACAAAATTAAACCCGACATTTCAACCGTACTAACTTCATTCGTAATCAGGTTTTTAGAACAACACTGTTTCAAACCGTTGCCGTTTTTGTTTGGACAAGAGTCACGGGAAAAGCCTAGTGTAGGAATAAAAATAAAACATCGACTAAGGACTCACGGCATGATTTTTTGCCGCGCCCGCCGCAGTTGCGAGCCCGCAGCCCTTGTAGAATACAGATATAAGTATGTTATACCTATGTAAAAAATCAAAGCAATTTTCACGGCGCCTTTTACGCCCGCGGCGGCTGCCATTGTTTGCAGCTCCCGTTTCACCTACAGCGGGTTGCACCCAGAGGCTCTGCAATCAGTTTTTTTTATGGCATAAGTCGGCAAACGAGCAGACGAATCATCTAATGGAAAGCCATCGGCGTCGCCCATGGACACCTGGAACACCAGAGGCGTTACAAGTGCGTTACTGGCTTTTTGGGGTTTAGGAGTTTGAGGATCGTTGGGGATTCAGGGATTGGGCAGATTGGGGAAGGGGAGGGTAATTGGGCCTCCGGTAACCTCACTCATACGACGAAAGACACCGCAAGCGTTGCTTCACGTCGGTTTTCTGTGAGGCCGTGGTATCACTCCGGTCGAGCCGGCCCATTCGTGCCGAAGCAAGACTCTCCCACACTTGACGATTGGCGGGCGATCGCAATGGGACGGCCTGTTTGGAACTCAACTGATTGTTTGCGGTGTCGTAAGTTTTGAATAAAAATTCCGTCACCGCGGCGGGCGTGGGAGAAAAATCGCGCCGTGAGTCCGTAGCCTTACCAATAACATGGACTGGGTACTACACAGCGTTAACAAACTCTTGAAATATGAGAATTCTCTAATTATTAAACACGAAAAGTGTAATATCGCTTTTAATGAGGTCTCAGAGGAGAGTTCTGATATTTCAAACATTTTCGTAGTAAGTTTTAAATTTCTACTATGAAAGTGAGTACCTTTGAAAATAAAAGTACCTACTAACTAAGAACGTGAGAGTAAGTTTAAACTATGTAGGTACCTATCGACATAAATAATACATACATACATACCTACACTACCTACAGTATGATGCATTACATAACATCACGCCTGTTATCCCCGAAGGGGTAGCAGAGGTATACATTACGGCACTTATTGCCACTTTATAATATAACACCCACTTTTCACTATTTATGTTATGAGTCCCGTGTAATAGGGGTTACGCCTATTGCCACAATTCCAAAACCCCAGTAATACTTTTCCCGGCAGTCGCACGTGCGACCACTCGGCCAATGAGTCAGTATGATACCTACTTATATTATAAATTTAAACATTCTTTGAAGCCACGCACAGGGTAATATGGACTTCAGTGAACTTAGTTGTGGCCATGTCATGATGATAGAATAAAATACATAAAGTAAGGAAATAAAGGAGAAGTCCTTGAGAAAATGTGAAGACATTTTATAGAGATCAGCTAGGCTATTCTGTAACTTTCAATTCGAAAGATCGAAATGAACTCGATCGCGGTTCGCCATCTCATTGGTTGTGAAAATAATCTCGACCAATGACGGGCGAGAATCTTCGATAATTCGATTTGACAAGCTGTGGATATTGATAAGAAAATTAAACTACAACTGCACCCATAACAGTACCATTGTGATAAAATAATAGATAATGAAGTGTAGCATTACCAGATAATGGGGTTCATTGAAAACTCGTTAGCGACAAATGTAGTCCATTTTAAACAATCGCTTACCTACTTTTAGTGTTAATTAAATCGACACGTGTAATAAGTACAATGAAGGAGAAATTACTAAGTAATTTCTTGCTGACGAAAAGCTTCACTTAAGGTCACGTACTTGTTAGGTGTGGGACCTAACAAGTACGACCGGCCGGCTCGACGCAAGCGTTGCTTCACGTCGGTTTTCTGTGTGGCCGTGGTATCATTCAGGTCGAGTAGGCCTATTCGTACCGAAGCATGGCTATCCCACACTTAAAATCCCACAATTTCATTTAGACTAGTCAACTAAGTACAACTAAACCTATACCTATTTATTTAATACTGCTTTATAATAGATCCACATGTAGTGATGTACAATACTAATAACCTATTAATAACGATTAGTAGCACTCTGTTTAATTGATTGAATGGGATCGTGGTTGTTGTATGGTATGTTTGTCTTCCGCATCGATATCATTTTCAATCTATATCAATTGCGTGCAGTTATTAGCTATACTTTTATTTTATCTGTAGTTTGTTATGTGTATTGCATTGGTATTAGGATAGGGCTGACTCATTGATCATTGTCTGAACTTCTCTAGTTCTCAGACAAATTATTATTGAGTCTTCTGATTACCTTAGTTTTTAGTTTATCCCTATTTTAATGAATACGTTGAGACTTATTACTTTTCACACCTCTGTCTAGTCTTTTGAGAATCGGATGCATGTGATGTCATGTATTTTGGTCCAATGCATCACTTTTTGACTCCTCGACTGCTGCTACAGTGTAGCTTAAAACTACGTTCCAACAAACTGGGAATTAAATAGTTAAAACCATTTAGTTTTATGATATGATGTGTACCTACTTCTCAACCATAGCGAAGCGAGGTTACTACCTATGTAAGTAGTCATATATATACTTTATGTAATTAATGTCCTTGCATCTGCGGAGGGCTGATATGATTCTGGTCACTAAGTGGGAATTTTCGTAACAAAGGCTACTCAAATAAGCTTAGACAACATTTAGAACGGTGATCTACTCCAGCTAGGGTAATTTAAGATACTATACTACACTGCAACTATTGAGTGGGAATCTTTAATTTGGTCTCAATGCCGAATAGGTAAATAATTTGTTTATTTAGTAAAGAAAACAATCGATCGACATAATTGACCTTCTTTCTTTAAATCTTATTGAAAGTTGATTTGATTTTCTATAGCATTAAAGTGGAAAAAGCCAACATTATTACGTATTGAAGTTTTATTCCATATGACAGCACAAAGACTCATCACAGTAATAGAAATATAATTACATTATTTGCTGCTCCGGACTTCCAATCAGGTTATGGGTGATCCCTAAATGTGATTAACTTCATGTCGACCAAATCTTTCGTTACGGAGCACCGGGAAATATGTTTGTCTCGTACTTATGTTATTGTTGAAATGCCAACAGAGATGAATCGTGCTATCTCTGTTCCGTAATTAGGAATCCCGCTGTTGCAAAACCTGCAAATGTAGCCTTTTTGCTGACGGGCACGGCACGCGACGAAATGAATACCGCTGTGTGTTATTAAAAGAGCTTTTTACAAAAATATTCAACAAGTTGAATTTAAATTAGTAAACGAGTTTTCGTTGGCCATCTCACAGGATATGTTAAACATGTTTGAAATGGAAAAATGTAATTTATATGTTTGATGGGGAATATTTCTGTGTTTTTTTAAGTGCTTTGAGGATTTGGTGGCTTTATATTTCGTTTCAACAAAGCAATATGAGTATGTATATCACATAAAGCCCATATCTGATAGAAGTCATCGATTCTGCCCCAAATATAAGGCATTGTACCGCTAAAGGTAATTGGGCAGAGTTAGTACAATCGTACCGACTGTAATGCTATCTAGAGAACACTCAGTCTTACTTGCCCAAAAATAAAAGGGAAACATGGCAAAATGTTTCACATGGCTGCCCCAACCAAAGAATAACAGGCAAGGAACGCACCACATAACTTCTACTTTCGACATGTTCATTAAGAAACATCCCAAATTGCATTCCTCTGTAACACTTAAAAAAGTTAAGGTTTGACAAAGTAACGTAAATAAATTAGTCGACGACCCAACGGACGAAACCTACCCTTGGTTCTTGAACAATTTACTTCTCAAGTAAACAAACTCCTGGAATGAGTTATTTGTTCACCGTAGCAACAGAGAAACTTCGGCGTATTTTTCGAACACAAAATTTCCGAAGGAAAATTTTCTAATAAATCAATAGGTATCCGTTAATTTCTTTGGAAAACAAACCGTCTATTTTATGAGGTTTTCGAAACTGGATTATGGAAATTTATAGTTCTGAACTATCAGGTTTAGTTAAGTAAACACAAGGTATAACTCTAGTATAACCAAAAAGTATTATAATAACACATCTTGTCTTTTTCTGAAGCGCATTGGCTACAGCACAGCGTAAGTTAGAGTTGGCCGAGCCGGGGTTGGACTAGAGACGTACAGAGGCCTTAGTACGAGTTTGATTTACGTTTCAAGTATTCGAAACGAGTTCGCATTCGGCATTCTGATTGGTTGGCGCCAATGAACCAACCAATCACAGCGCCGAACGCGTACTCGTTACGATTACTTTAAACGTAAAACAAACTCGTACTAAGGCTTCTAACCTGAACCAACGAATGACATCAAATAAACTAATTTCTAAAAAAAATCAAATTCTATAGCGAAACAACAATTCGCAACAAAATTATAGCCACATTTCCGTCAATTTCTTGAAACCGATTTATCTCATTAATCTTAGCTTCAGAAGTTTAAGCGTAAAAGCGTAACAAATAAAATCAATTATAAATTATAAAAATTTCGAAATCCTCGCTCACAATCCAAACTAACCACCTCATTCCTTTCTTATAGGAAGAAGTAGAATCATCCCTCCGTCTGGTGCATGCAGTAGCTACTGGGGCGACAGGCGCGCTGTGTGTCACATATCGGTATGGGCGGCTGCGGGCACCACTGCACGCGGCGCGGTGGGACACTGCAAGAGCCAGGGCTGATCTAGCTGCTAACCTACTCCATCAACTAGGCTTGGAATCTGCAGGTAATTTGGTCAAATGTCTTAAGAAACGCCTAAGATGATGAAGAGCTGATAATCAAACCTAGCGGCGTGCTATTGAGAAAGATCTGTGTACGTAGCGCTTAACGAATATCGGCTGATGTCGATGGTTTTATAGTAGATATTATAAGGTGCTGAAATGAACAAAATGATATCCAAAATTGGTTGCTAATGCTCCGAAATCAAAACAAAAGAATGATGACGTTTATTCTGTATTGGTTGACTTCAAAAAATCTTTAGTCTAATTAAACACCAATTAAGAGTAAAATCAAATGAAAATAGGCTAAAATTTTAGTTTATAGCAGCTAGCTTTTACCTACATAATACCTAAATCCGTTAGAAATCAAATATTCATACGAAAATCAGAATTTTCGGTACCTACGAAGAGGTCTCAATAAACAATCGTTCAACAAAGGGTAAAAGCGACCGTCAACTCGTAAACAATTTTGTTTGATTTGATTCTGCGCCCGCTGTTAAATTAATTCACGACCCTAGAAATCAAACAAATGGAACCGAATTTAACGAAAGATTTTAAGGAAAATTGCGACACGCTCCAACTTTCACTTTAACTGTTAATACATTTTTGGTGATTTTCTCATTTCTTTTCTAAAAGTAAAAACGATTGACAATAAGGACTAACATGAATTCAATTATTTTGCTCAATATGTATACAAATAAATAAGTGTCACATTTATAGTATACGTAGCAGTCCACATTACTAACAAAAACTCTGTCGCTTATGAGTAGATAGTATCTAATAACCTTTTTACGTTAACAAATATTTTTCCTTCACAGAAGTGCTAATGGCTGTGTCACAAGGTCTCGTGCTCGGATCAAGTCCTGCAGAACGAGCAGTAGGGGCAAGGGCACTGGCCTTAAGATCTGATGGAGTAGTGAACAGTGCAGTAGCCTGGGCAAGATATGGCACCGCTGATCCAATCGCTGTAGTGTCCCCACAGTTGGAAAAGCCACCAGATCCTGAATATCCTTGGTGGGTAATTTAAAACCTAGGAATTAGATTAAACCCTAGAAATTGGATAAAAAAGTCAAACAATCCTTAGACTAGTCAAAATTTTGTTTTCTAGAAAACTATGTTTAGTAAAAAAAATTAGGATTGAACTTAAACTGTCGAACACAAAGCGGCACCGGTGACCGCAACCTATTGTTCTATAATTGTGTCTACAAAACCGGTACTCGACGAGTTAAATAGCTCAGTAGTCTTGAACTCACGGGCGTAATCCCCGGTTTAATTGCTAAACCAAATCCAAAAATATATGAAACTGGCTTATTTTATGATGGTGTCTCGTGCTGAACTATACCGAATAAAAATGACAAAGTAGCTCTTAAGTCTAAGTTAACAATAGTGTATAGGTACTATCCACTGCTCTTCACTTTCCACCTTCTTTAATTCCAGGTACGTGTCAGCACATGAGATAGAAACGCTCCGGTCTCCGAAATTCATGCCATCTCCACCTGGTGCCGCAATGGAGGGCTGGTGGACGTATCCATATTACAGCTGCGAAGCCAAACGATGGTTATTGTCCTACACCGTGCCTGTGGCAACTGTGCGAGGGTGAGTTTTGTGGTTGAAAAATTATTATTTGGTCCTTTTAAAGTGAAATCTAATCACTAGCTGTTAATGCGGTGGAATCAAGATACCACTCTCGGACAACTGAGGCTGCAGCAGTAGCCGCTCGTTTAAATCGCGAAACTAAATGATACACGAGCCACATGCGCATAATTTTTTTTTTTACTTTGTCTACCGAGTCTCCAAAACGAAGTTGTCGACTATACTGCTAGTGTCGAGTGGTGCGCGCATCAATTAGTACCTAGTTAGCGCCTGGACAACTCAACCAACCAATTTTTTTTTACTTATGGAATGACGTCCGTTCGCTCCTGGGTGCATTGCTTGCCCGCGGTCAATCCAGGTGAGATTTAAAACTGCCGTCTTCCAAAACAAAATATCATTAGTATAGAATAAAATTAAGACATGCCACTGGGTATATTATGGCATTTATACATTACATCTGATTTAGTTACTTAATCTGAAGCAAATAAATTTATTAGGGTTACGCATAAACAAAAAATAAAATCTTCAGTCTAGGCATGTAGGTATCTACCAAGGTATCCTAACCAACTTATCTCATACATTTCTCTCTTACAGATTGAAAGGTATCGTCTCGCTAGACATAGACATATCGAGCTTGGAAATAAACCAGTGCGAGGCAGATACTGAAGAAGACAATGATAACCAAATATATTCTTTTCACGGGACACACAAATGCCCTAACGACACTACTTACGTAAGTATAACCAGAGGCCTTGGAATTTAAATGTTTTCTTTATAATAATAGCTATGTGTATAAATCCAATATGTCTATTTGTCTAGTGTGAATACAAACCAAATAGAGAGATGAATGTGCGACATGCTGGTTGGGCACGAGGGTCATATATTTGCCGATGTCGTCCCGGATACTATTCGACACATCACCGTGAAGGATATAATGGATCCCTTGTTGAAGGTACCTATTGCAAAATAACCGTGATTTTCGTATATATAAATATTCCGCAAGTTGACATTGGTAAAAATCTATTTTCTACACGAAGTTAACATTATTGTGATTGCACCTAATGTAGTACTATTATTGCAATCCTTAAAATTAAATGATGTTGATCTTAATATTTTTGTTTTTTTTTTGTCAGTAAAGTTGCTAAGAATGTTTAATTGTTTACCATCGCTGTCTGAAAAAATCTCGATACCTACGTTAAAAAATTTAAAATGGAACACAACTGTCAAGTGTCAAATCAAATCTGTCAAAAATTCAAAATTATGATAAGTTATTGTTTTGTTTTGCCTTTTTGCTCACCAATATACCGATAGTCGATAGTTAAAATAATTTCGTATGTTTTCATCACTTTTTACCTTATAAAACTGGCTTCAATTAATATGTATAAAGATTTTATTTCAACACATTTGTTTTCATACGAATTTTAAAAAGACTACATAAGTACGAAAAGCACGATGGTTAACATTGATTAATTTCAATAATTTCTTTCCAGTGGCTTACCAAGAATACGAAGAAACCGATCTAGAAAACTGGAGTGAGCCTTATGAGTGTCTGAAATGTCAACCAGGCTGCGAAACATGCCGGGGACCGGAGCCCTGCCTCGCCACTTACAACTGGCCATTCCGGTAAGAAATGTTAAAAGTTTAAAATTCGAATGTCAAGGACTCTTTTTTTTCATCTTTTTCATTTTAGATACCTCTTCATCATGATATCAGCTAGGCTACTTGGTATCTACATCTGCATCCAGTGGCCTTCTGCGACGTAATAAAACTGCCCCACCTAAATTGTGCATTTTATTAAATATGTTTATTAACTTACACATACCTGGTTATCACTCAGGAAGAAATATTCCAATAGCTTCTAAATTGTAATACAGTACAATAATAACATTATAATATAATTCATAATCATCTTTATAGCCAACTTGTGACTCACTTTTCTGGTTCATATGTAAACTTACGTTAATTTTTCATTCCCAGGATATCATTACTGGTAATATCAGTAAGCTGTGCAGTTATGACGGTATGTCTCACCATCTACACTCGTCACCATCGCAGGGTGAAAGTGTTCCGAGTAGCCAGCCCTGTGTTCCTGTCGATAACCCTTCTTGGATGCGCTATCATGTATATGGAGGTGAGTTTTCTTAGTACAAGAAGTATCAATTGTGCTATAGCAGACTACCATGCAGAATTTCAGATTCATTCAGCCTTTTTGGAGTATTTTTTTTTCTTTAATTGTGAGCAAATGTTTCAACTATGCATTTCCAATATCAGTCTTTTTACATATTTTATTAAACAACATTCAATACCTTTAGAAGGTACCTAGCTAGATTGTTTACATATAAATAATACTGATTTTTAAATGATTTCTAGATGGCAGCTATATTCCCGGTGTTGGATAGATACTCTTGCATTGCAACAAAATGGACCAGACATATGGGATTCTGTATCACTTACACTGCGCTTCTGATGAAGACATGGAGGTTGGTTTCCTATTTATTTATACTTTGTTGCTCAAATTTACATTGTGATAGTAATTTGAGAACAAAAATAGAAAAATGTTTTGAAGAAATGATAAGACCACACATATGGCAATATTCCAGGCATCTTTTTTTTATGGCATAAACCGGTAAACAAGCTGACGGATCACCTGATGGTAAGCAATCGGTGTCGCCCATGGACACCTAGAACACCAGAGGCGTTACAAGTGCGTTACTGGCCTTTTGGGGATTAGGAATTTGAGGATCGTTAGGGATTCAGCAATTGGGGAGATTGGGGAAGGGGGGGGGGGTAATTGGACATCTTTTCTTTTTTAAATTTAATCTTACCAACCTATACAATTCCAATCACCATTTTATGAAATTTCCTTAGTAGTATCGTTTAAACTGTCAAACACCAAGCGGTCACCGGTGACCGCAACCTATTGTTCTATAATTGTGTCTACAAAACCGGTACTCGACGAGTTAAAAGGCACATCTTTGTTTATAATAATAATATTATGTTAAAAATTCCAGGGTATCTCTAACATACCGAGTGAAATCAGCTCATAAATTGAAGTTGACGGACAAGCAGCTGCTGCAGTGGATGGCACCGATACTCCTCATCATGTTGGTCTACCTCGGCACCTGGACGCTATCTGCTCCACCTGATGCTGAAGTTGTAAGTTTTTTTTAGTTTAGTCAATCATAGAATGGAGATTTTAAGACTAATAACTGTCGACAGAAAACTGTCAAAGCCAAATACTACATTGATGTTGGTCTACAACAACCACATGAAGTAGTATAACATTGTGATGTGAGTGGTTTTATTGTTGTTTAATATTTTATTTATTGTTTGCAGATAACGGACAACAGAGGCCTGAAATTCAAGCAATGTACTTACAATTGGTGGGATCACAGTTTAGCTATAGGTAAAAAATTAACTGAAAAGTGTTTAATTCTTAAGAAAATATACCCAGTGAGTCAAAATTAAATTATTTGCAAATTCTATATTATCTTTTTATCTTAGGGCTAGTACATACTTGGACAAACAAGCTACCTTAGCATGATATGAATATGGAGTTTGAGCTGCTGTCGGCGACTTCGCGCAGAATATGATTCCTGTTTTATCCCATCGGAGCATTTAATCGAGATAAAAGTATCATATCACCTAAGTCAGTCACCCTGCCTGTATACCAAATCTCATCAAAATCCGTTCAATAGTTTCAGCGTTTTTGACAGACAAACATCCAAATAAAGAAACTTACACATTTATAATATTACTAGCGACCCTTACCGGCTTCGCACGGGTGCAATATGTATGTATTATCTATATAAATAAAAATGATTTTCCGTTCGTTAGTCTCGCTAAAACTCAAGAACAACGGAACCGATTTGGATAATTTTGGTCTTGAAATGTTCGTGGAAGTCCAGGGAAGGTTTAAAAGGTGAGAATAATATTTTTAGGCGGTACGAAGTTTGCCGGGTCAGCTAGTACATAATAAAGAAAACCGCATCAAAATCCGTTGCGTAGTTTTAAAGATCTAAGTATACATAGGGACAGACAGACGGCGGATAGCGACTTTGTTTTATACTATATAGTGATAGTGCGATTTTCCTTATATTTATAAAACAACATGTTATTGTTTACATTACAGGTGAAATCCTGTTCCTATTATGGGGTGTACGAGTATGCTACCGCGTACGACACGCTGAGAGCCTTTACAATGAGGCGCGACTTATCTCTATAGCCATCTACAACATATTTACTGTCAACTCTCTCATGATAGCTTTCCAGTAAGTATATTAGAACTTGAAATATCATTATAGAACTTGAAGTGTCTTCTGTTAACTTTCAACTTTATTGCAAAGTCATAAGGTTGAAAATATACCTATTACCTACTCTAAATATTGAGGAGAAAGATTTCCCCCTATTACATGAGACTCATAACATAAATAGTGAAAAGTGGGTGTTACATTGTACAGTGGCATTAAGTACCGTAATGTACTGCTCTGCCTGCCTACTCCTTCGGCGGTAAAAGGCGTGATGTTATGTTATGTTTCTACAATTAGTATGAATGGAAAGTTTTTGTTAATTTCTTTATCCATCAAAAAAATCTTTGTTTTCAGTTTACTAATATTACCTCGGGCCGGACCTGACATTAAGTATCTTCTTGGGTTCATAAGGACTCAACTATCAACATCGACTACAGTGCTGTTGGTGTTCTTACCTAAGGTATAGCTCTTATTCTTTATTAACTTCACTTTGACTTCAACTTCATGTAATACGATTTCAGAGGAAAACCAGAATTCTATTTGTATAGTATATGCTGGTAAAGGAGCAGATGGATCATCTGATAGCAAGCAATCTGCACCACCCATGGACACCCGAAACACCAGAGATACAAGTTCGTTACCGGCCTTTGGGGGACAAGAAATTTGAGGATTGTTGGGGATTGGATAGATTGAGGATAGGGGTAATTTAACTCCGGTAACGAAAGGACGAAACACAACGCAAGCATTGTTTCACGTCGGTTTTCTGTGAGAACGTGGTATCACTCCGATCGAGCCGGCCCATTCGTGCTGAAGCATTGCTCGCCTACCCTTATCATAAAGTGTCATAAACTATTACTAGAACTGGCTTGTCCAACTAGTTCACAACTATTATTTTATTGCGTCCTGAGATTAACTATTTGTGTTTACTTACCAGGTATTACGTGTGGTACGTGGTACTGGCGACACGTGGGACAGTCGAGCCCGTGCCCGCGGTGTACCGGCTTCCTCCTCACTGAATGGTATCGGCCTTGTGCCTGATGAACCGCCTGACCTCTATCAGGAGAATGAGGAACTTAAGGTATGATACTAATCATTTTTTATTAGCATAAGCCAGTAAACAAGCAGACGGATCACCTGATGGTAAGCAATCGGCGTCGCCCATGGACACCTGGAACACCAGAGACGTTACAATGCGTTACCGGCCTTTTGGGGATTAGGAGTTTGAGGATTGTTGGTGATTCAGGAATTGGGGAGATTAGGGAAGGGGAGGGCAATTGGTCCTCCGGTAACCTCACTCACACGACGAAACACAACGCAAGCGTTGCTTCACGTCGGTTTTCTGTGAGGCCGTGGTATCACTCCGGTCGAGCCGGCCCATTCGTGCCGAAGCATGGCTCTCCCAGACTTAAAATTAGAATTCAAATTAGATGTATACTTTACCTATTAGCATTTAATTGATTTCAGTTCCAAGTTCCAGTTTGTAAAATAGGTCTCTGTTGGCGGGTCTGAGTAATAATTTTGGAAGAATAATAATTATAATTTGTATTTAAATTACAGGAAGAAGTTCAAAAACTAGCAGCTCAGATAGAGTTCATGAAAATAGTGCAGATGGAGATGCACAACCGTCACTTACGGCCGCGGCCCGGCGGCTACTTCACTACTAACGCTAACTCTGCCGCGCCGCAGAGCCCTATACACCCAAAGACTGTTAACATTTCACAGGTAAAACAACTATTTCTAGAAATGTTTTCTATTGACATGTCATAAAAGATAGTCTTCAATAGTATGCCACAGACACTACTTAAAGAACCTATTGGTAATAATATTAGTATTCCGCTTTTAAATAAAAAAAAATTAAAGATTTTTTTATGGGATAAGCCGGTAAACGAGGCTCACCTAATGGTAAGCAGTCGGCGTCGCCCATGGACACCTGGAACAACAGAAGTGTTACAAGTGCGTTTCCACACGCCGAAACACAACGGTAGTGTTGTTTCACGTCGGTCTTCTGTGAGGCCGTGCTATGACTCCGGTCGAGCCGGCCCATTCATGCAGCAACATGGCTCTCCCACAATTAAAATATTATTAGGATATTTGTTACTCAATCACGACTAACTCCTAAATGGATCCATCCATCCATTAGTATAAATATGTTCAAGCAAATTGCTGGCACAAGTTAATAAATAAATCGAATACAGTGTGCCTGTTAATTATCCTATCCCTACACAAGCTACTGCAAAACTAAACCTCAAGGACAAATTGAACGGATCAGTCACGTGACTGTTTGACTAGGTAACTTGACTTGTTTCGAGCCTCGCTAGGGACTCACATTAATGAAAGACGCTTTGTAAAGTTCTAAAATTCAGATCATAAACTTCTTTCCAGGACAGTACAGAATGGAGCGGACCAGTGTGACTGGTAGCGCTGAGCGATAGTGGGTGGTCGTGGCCGGGCCCGGCGGGGAAGCACGTCACAACCACGGTGGACGTGCGCCCACCGGCGTACGTGTGACGTCACAACTCATCACGCATCCATTGCTTTGTTTCGCTCAGTTCAGTGATCAGACTTTTATTTGCTTTTTAGTGGCTAAGTAACTTTATCTTGCTTTGAAAGGAACTTTTAGAGTAACAGTAACACAAGTGAGTTATATTGTTGTTTGAACTTATTTATAGTGACCTCAACAAGTTACCAATGATAACACCACTGCATAGAGTAAGTATCGTTGTGCTATTCATTCCAAAAATTTTATTCATCGTATCAAATCAAGTCTGTTGATAGTATGTAAATGTATTTATAGTTTGGAACGATTAATTGTAACTGTTGTTTACTAGATAGGATAATGTCATAAAATAATATTAAATTAGCTATTTTTATGTTTATTCATACATCTGTGTAGAAAGGCTAGTGGTCAATACTGATTACTGATAAATACTCATTACAGTCAAATAGTTATACAGTTTGTGACATATACCAAAGAATTGTAATTTTTGTGTTTTAGTACAAAATGTGCCACCAAATAATAGAGTAGTTTGCCATGAACCGTGTTCTTGTAAGACTATTATTATTTAAGCTTATTCTAGTTTAACTTTCCAAGCATTGTATTGTAAACATTCCAAATGTAATACTTATTATTGAATAGTAATTAAATGTTACTTTTTAATGTAATAAGTCTTTGTATAAGTTATCATTATCTGGTTAATCAAACAGGCTCCTTCTCAAAGAGCCCAGTGAGTGGACACTCTTTAATTGTTTATTTATCTGTAGGCAGCCACCTGAACGATGTCTTTGCAAAAAAAGAAATAACTCCATAGATAATAAATACATCAGTCATCCAGACCTCAAATTGGCGGTGAAACAAATAAAATTATTTATAATTTGTAATATATTTGTAGCTATACATTAATATGTCGGGCACTGAGTGTTCATCGTTAGGACAGACAATAAGAAGTAAAAGTTTCGAAAAACATAACTTCATAAGTCATACGGAATTTAACAACTAAACAAAATCTTATTTAATTTAGATTTAAACTTAAATATTAAGTTTGAACCTTTTAATAACACTTGTTATCTATTATGTGTTGTAAACTAGTTCATAGACATACATCATAAACCATTTGTATAGTTTTAGGCGTAAACAAATTGTACATATGAATCAAAATAAAGCATAAATTCTAAAGTGTTGTACATAAACTCATTAGAGATGTTTAATTATTATTTTGTTTCGTTTATCATCTGTGATAAGCAGTATTATCAATTATAATGTTATATTGTGATGCGGTTGTATGAATCTTTATAAAGAAGCTGTTTTAAACAACATGTCTAGAGTTAAAAGTGTGTGTATTCTCAAATACTCAGTTCCCAAAAGGCCGGTAACGCACTTAATTGTTACGCCTTGGTGTTTCAGGTGTCCATGGGCGGCGCCGAATGCTTACGCCAGGTTATCCGACTGCTCGCTAAAAAAAAGATGCATTCACCATTGAAAGAGAATTAAATTGTAAAAATCTATTCAGACCGACAAACTTAGTAAAATAATTATCGGTGAAAATGCTGCCACATAGATATATATTTCATAAAACCTCACTAAAAGAGAAAATAACTCTTAAAGATTCGTACAGCAGAACATCATTCTATAGATTGAGTATGATTGAGATATAAGAATGTAAAAGAAAATGTCTCTATTTATGTTTTGGTGCATCCACATTTGGCGAATACTCTGTCCAGAAACAACTCTTTTACGGCTCAGAGGGACCAGTGAATATAAAACTAAGGGTGCTCTAGTCATGAGTTGCTCATGAACAGTGTGTTTGTCTGTTTGGATACATCTTTAGGCTTTAGCTCAACTATAAAAGGTGAGCAAAGAACCAAGCCTGTTTCTTTGCTCCCCTTTTTCTAATCCTTAGTCTTCACTCTTCACTTTCAATTCTACCCTAGATATCCTATAATAAATGTTATTTTTTGACGCTAGTTGGCTATCCTATCATTTAATGTAGGTGTTAAATATTAGTGTGCTAAGTGTGTTATTAGAATATTTTTCAAAAGAGAAGTTTTTATGCTGATTTTTAATCATTCATGCAAATAAAATGGCAGATAAGAAAGTAAAATGTGCATGTATATTGAAGTTATAATAAAAAAAATAATATACAATAAAAGTTCATGTGTAATAATTTTATTCACACAAAGATCAATAGTTCTTATTGAAGTTGATGTTCACTTTTTAAGTGTTTTTAAAGAAATTTGTAAAATAATTAGGTGTTTATGTGAACTTTACACTTGTTCATTTTTATATGTATTTAAATTTAAATGTTGATCTTGCTGTTTTATTTTAAATTGTGAAACAAAACTTTCGTTTACAAAATACCTATTTATAATGAAACATGAGAGAAATAAATGTTAATACTGACTTTCTGAATGTTTTAGAAGTCAAATTGGAATAAATTTTACATTATCACATCTCAAGCATTGAAACGACTCAAATAAAGAAATACTTGAATACATTCAGGTCAAAAAATGTGTAATGAAACAATATAACTTACATTTTTTTTAATTTTAATGACACAGAAAGAAATTATTGTAGCCTTTATTCAAAGAGTAAAACTCATCATTTGTAGATGTGCCAGTAGCTTAAGTTTTAAATGTGATATAAATAAAAATTAGTACAATTAATATTCAATTTTTATTTTCTTGAATATAATTTTACTATTTGAATCTCTTTAGACTTAACTATTTCATGTTCTATGTGCCAAGTTATAAATTTTCGAAGTGAATATAAAAATTTAAATGTATCAATTTTTGTATAGTTTTTTTTAGATATTATAATAAATACATTACATAGTAATACACAATGTAACTGAGTGTTATATTAGAATTGGTGTAATAAGTATTGTTAATCTATGATACTCGTTTCTAGGTGAATTTTATGTAAGAAGTTCTGTTTTTACATTAAAATAAAAATGACTGTTTGTGATGTTTTATTTCATTATAATTATAGGTCAAGATAACATAGTCTAACATTCCATTTGATAGTCATTCTTAACTTCTCACCTGCCACAATATAAGACGAGACACAATAAAAAACATACTTAGATCTCCATTCGCATAGACAGAGGTTTAATACCCAATATAATAGCAATCTATAGTACTGACACCGAGACACATAGATACACCCTACTTTTTGTTAAAGAAAGTATCTCATTCTGTACTTTTGTAGTCTTGCTCTTGCTTGCATAATCAACAGATTGGACTACACTCGAGAATTAAAGTCTTACTGATTAAGTCCCATCAAGTTCGTTCAAAGATCTTAAGTTACAAATCCTAAGCTCTAATATGATAAGATACTTAATTAAATGTATCCAGTATCACAAAAGACTTAGCACTTTGAATCACTAATCAAATAAATCATTTTGTTTCTTTAAAAATGATGCACTTGCGCACAAAAACTGTGTTTCACTCTGAACTGCTTTCAAGCTCTCACTATTGTCAGCACTCTTACAAAGCAGGTCGACAGCCTCCATGTCTTTCTTTGCAGTTTCACACACTTTTTCCAGAGTAGCAAGCTCCTCTTCTTCAGCAGATAATAAAGCCTCCATCAATGCGCCTCTTTCGACTCTCCGTCTCAATGATGCAACCTCCTCCTTCAACTTTTCAAAATCCGAATCCGAGGTTTGCTCTACCTGCACTTCGTCATCAGGCAACAAAACATTTTGTGGAATTTTCAACATACGTTCTATTTCATCATCAATAACTTCCAAAGACGGTCCCGCACGCTCACAATACAAATGAATCAACTTATCACATGACCTTGTTAACGTAGATTTATCCGTTTCATTAAGATCCAGTGATTCTTGCAAATAAGATTCCATGTCTTTGACGCCGTTAGTAATTTTCTGTTCAACCATTTGTCTCACAGCTATTTTAAGGCGTTGAGCCCCAAAACCGAAATGTTGTGTCTCATATTCTTCGTCAGTACCACCAGTCCACGGTTTGGTTTTAATCATCTTGATTTGAATGAATAGAAACTTTTTATAAATCAAAATACTAAACTTTGTTCACGTTCGAATCTGAAGTAAACAACTATAATATTTCAAAATTCAAAGTCAAACGTTCACTTCGACATTGACGTTTGACAACTGACAACGACATTTGACAGGCCCAATAAAAAGTTGCCAGAGACAAAATGTTTGAAATAGAAAGCTTTTAGTTCAGCAGAAGGGGAAGAAAATATTTTTAACATCTGCATTTATTTATTAACCTTTTCCAAGCTATTTATAGCCACTGTCTACCACTCTACTAGGTAAATATATATGATTCCAAAAATCAAGAACTATAATGACATTATTTATTTAAGCTTTAAATTACATAACTAAATGAAATAAAATTACAAATATTTATTACTTAAAATTAATTACAACTAACCTAAACAATAGAAAAATACCCTTACTTAGGCCCGTCTCATAATGGCGATGCAAAGATTGTCCCCGCGCCTCTAGCGGCGAAATTTAGAAGTTGTCTAAAAACGACACTGCTTTCGAGTTCAGGTTACTAAGTATAAACAGAATCAAATAGATCACGATTACATACAGATACGTACCTATTTTATAATAAAAACAGAAACACGAAATATTGTTGCGTTCCTCAATGTAATATTTACGGAGATTCGGGAATAAGTTTTCATTTATTTGCAAAAGATAAAATTATGAATCAGATAAATTTTCTTTCTGTATGGAAAGAGGAAAGATCAACTGTAAAGCAATTAATCCTGTGATATGCATTTACTTACTTTTACGGATATTCATTAAATTGAACTTTTAGAAACATTACTGACTTGTGTTAGTGAATGGCCTTAAATGCTCCAACAAACAAGAAAATGTTATCTGTGAGAGACAGAGTTATATTTTGACAATGGTAAAAATTAGACAAAAAAAAAATTTGTAATTTAGAGCCATTGGTGTTTTGTTTAGTGTAAATAGGCGGACATATTCTAATTATTTTAATAATATGTCCCCCATGCTCAGTAGAGTACTCAAAGTTGTTATTTCTTGGTCTGATACTAATGCATAGTAAGACTTAAATCATTCCAAAAATATAAAAATATTATAACAATATTAGACTGTGGTGAGACTGTGAATGAAAATTGTACCTACATGTTTTAAACTGTAGAACATTGACGTACTTTCAATATAAAAAAAACAATACAGTGAAGTTTAATTATGGAATTTAATTCCTTCTGGCCTAATAACTGAAATAAGTGGCATAATAAGACTTATGGTGGTCGTCCATCAGATATACATATTCTAAATGAATCACGAATCTTAAATAAATGCGAATTTAATGATGAAGTGCTGGTGGAGGATTGAATTCGAGTGTAATAAAGTCAGTTAAGGATAATATAAATTAGATATTGAATAATTAGTATAAACTTTTATTAATTTTGCAATTTAATTAAATAATTATATACAAGATTTAAATTTATTAAATAAATTTTTCTGCGACGTAAATTAATTATATTTAGAATCTGTCAGTGTCGTTCTTAGACAGCTTCACAATTTTGACATTAGAGGCGCTAATTAGAATCTTTGCATCGCCAATTTTCTGTCCGAAGAAATAGCCTGCCTGCCTGCCTGCCTCTGGTCACGTGTATTTAGACGATCAGCCTACGGCTATTTCTTTATAGACAGAGAGTGCACTAGGAGTAGGACCCCATGTCTTATGTGTTTCGACCTTACGGCTCAAAACGGAAGTTATCCGCCAGATTTAAAGTATTTAATATTTGCTTTTTATTATTTTTAACGGACTTCAAAAAAAGAAGAAGGTTCTCAATTCGACCTTATATATGCTTTTTTTTTCTGTTTGTTCGCTGATATCTCCGTCAATATTCATAGGCACTAAATTCGAACTATAATTAAATGAATTTTCAGTTTTATCCTTGACATGAGTAGAATGATTACTGTTTCCGGTAGAAGGTTTGAACTTTTACATGTGATATGAAGTGAGCGACATATTATATAGGTAAGTATGTGAAGTTGTAATACATAATTATGGTTCCCTAACTATTAGGACTTACTTTAGATATCCTGATATTAAGTCCTAAGAACTTTATTGAAAAAAGGTTTCTTGAAAAGATCGCATAGTTTGATTCAATAAAAATTTGAATTTGAATTTTGTCTTTGAAGATTTTTAAGAGTAGTATCAAATACCCATGTTTTAGTAATTTTAATTTTATAGTACCTAGGTATACCAGATTTTCCTAATATGTCTCCAAACTCCAATTCTATAATGTCTGTAGATTTGAAGTTATATTTAAGTTAGAAAGTGATATAAATTGTATTGTAATAAATCTTAGCATTATGTACCTATGTAATGTTTTTACAAGAAATTTTACAATGAATAGGTAACTAATTAATTGTCTAATTCTAATGCATGCACAGTAAACAAATTATAATGTCTATTTTTCATTACATGCTATTCATAAAAGTTCCACGTCACACGAATTAGGTAATCCTGAACTACCTATTTTTAATAAAATCGTAAGTAAAATTGCGTAAATAATTGAAATGAGAATGAATGGAGCGCGTCTAAATGTGTCGTTCCGTCCTCTTGCTAACTGTTTTGCGTTCGCGATTCACTTCACTTCAGTTCGTTCAGCAGTAATAGCGCGGAGTTCGTACTGTGTCGACGTTTCTATTACATCACAACAATAACATAACCTCTTCGTGGTTATCGCGAAAACTTTCTCCCTATAGTTTTCGAATAAGTTTCTTATTGGATTTGAACTAAGAATATTAATTAATTGTAAACGTGTTAAGCGTTTGGATAAAACGCTGTTGTTTTTGTCGTTCCGCGTGTGCGAACAAGTGTTTACAAAGTTGTCCATTCCTTGGTGTTGTGTTCAGTTTGCAGTTTTTGTGTTTTGACCGTGAACTTGTTGCTTTGAACCCGTCTTTGTGGTAAGAATCATAGTGTATAGTTACTTATTTTTTTGTTACATGTAACGATATCGTATATTATCGACTATAGACATGATTGTTATGAATTGTGTAATGTTTACTTTTTATCTTTGGTTTGTTTATATTTGAATAATATAAATTATTAATGCGTAGTTGTTACCTAACTAGGAAGTTATGGAAATTGAAGTTTCGTTTACCAACGTATAGTTTTTGTAGAATAAAGTATGAATTAAAAATCAGCAATCTTTGTAACAGTACCTACACTACACCGCACCGGTTAACCTGTTGATTATTGGTGGTGCCATTGAATGAAATGTAGGCTATAAGAATTACACGCGGCAAATAAGAATTTAATTACCTACGAAGATAACGAACCATAGGTATGACTGGGACTTAGGTTATTTAATCTGTGGAGGGTAAGTGCCTATTTAACTTTTTAAATCGAGAACCAACCTAAACATCAGAAATGTAATAACCAACGTATTGTTTAATCCTTTGGATAAGCAGTGGGTACATAAAGTATTTTTGAAAACGTAAAATCTGCGCATTCACGATATTTTTTTTAGATAGCTACATGCCTAAGTACCTTGTGTATTTTTGTGCTCTTACATAATAGGTAGGAACCTACCTAATATCGTTTGAATTAACGAAAGTATTAGGTAGTAGTCTTATGCTCAGGTAACTGCTGTTTATATCCTTATCTTCATTGTTTTTCGATTAAATATTCGCACACTACCTTGATAATGATAATCATTATCTATCACACGCGTTTTTCGATTCAATCCAGTAATTGTTTTGATACCACTACGTAGGTAGGTAATGTAACTTATTAACATAGTCACTACTATTGATTAAATACCTATGTAAATGTAAGAAATTACATACTTAGGTACCTAACTGAACTTAGTACTTCGCATAAACTCATGATATAGTGGGAGGTATTTAGGTAGGTAAATACCTCATTAAGTAGGTACCTCATTTTCGTTTTAGTTATGTCGTTCGTACCTGTACAGTCGTATAGTCGTATACTTATCAAAACGTGTATCTTGTCGTGTAGGTAGGTACTATCGGCAAACTTTACGGTAGTACCTATACTTTTTAGACAAAATCTTGTGGCAGGCAAACTGGCTGCACCGGGAGTTTTCTCTGTCGTTCGAGCCGAGTGCATCGCCTAATGATGGTCGACCGCCAACTTTGTCGATTGTACCTACGCTATATTATCTAAAGTATGTTTAGGTACGATGCGTTCAGGCAGGAGTATCTAGGTACTTAGGTACCTATACCTACATACAGACAGAGAATCTTTGAACCTACTGGACAGTGGAGGACGAACTACCTGCGTACATTGTGCAGGTAGTTAGAAACCTTTGAATCTAACTCAGTAGGTATCTAGGTATATCTTCGCTAACGCTTGTATCTTTAAAAATTGTAAAACATGTAAGATAATTTTGATTCCAGATCTGGACCTTCACAAATCTCTCATTATACATATTTCAAAGGAAGTGACTGATCTACATAAAACGATAAGTTTTATCAGTCACTTACATGATATAAATATCTTTGCCAAATTCATTGACAAGTTTGCATAAATACCAATCAGTAAAATCAGATCTAGGAGGACTAACATCAACTATGTACCTACCTAATTCAAGTGCGAACTTGCGAAGTCAGTCATACCATAGTAGGTAAACCCAAGTATAATTTGTCGTCTCAAAATAAACTGGGCCAACTTTTCTGCAGTAGTTCATCATCATCGACAGCCTATAAATGCCCACTCCTGAGTAAAGCCTCTTCTCACACGGAGAAGGTTAGAGCTTTAATTTCAACGCTTGTTCAATGCGGGCTGGCAATTTCAAAATTATAATTATTAGAAATTATAAGCCCAGATTTTCTCACGATGTTTTCCTTCACCGTTTGTCAGTGGCGTCTAAATAATCTTAGAAAGTACATAATCTTAGGAATAATCTTAGGAAGTACAAACTCGGAACAAAATCATATTGGTACTTGTCGTTGGTAGGTTTCGAACCGGCACCCTCATATGAGCAGTACCTAGTTACGAAAACGAAAAATAAAACTAAGACTACCAGTGTAAAAGTCGTGCTTTCCACCTGAACTTGTACCAGAAAACGTGACAAATTACTTGTCTACCAAAATACTAA